AAATCTATATAAAAAAATGCTCACACGTCAGTTCAATGGCCGGGGTCGACATATAAATTGAAACAATAGTTATTTTTTTCACTTATTTCAGTGACCAGACTGTAAATGTATCTGTAAATAAGCAGTTTTCTGTATTTTATGTGTTTTTATGCTTTTGAATTGGATTATGAGATCTTGAACTTTCCTCCATCAACTTATAACCTTGAAAAGTTTTAAAAAGTGACTCTTATTGACATTTTAATAGTTTAAAGTGATATATTGTCTGGGCTGGTGTTGTATATTAAACAACGACAACCTTGTAATAAACCATCAGCAGATTTTCTGTTATTTTACAGACTTATTTCTCTATATGTTATTTCTTATACATCATATAGTATAATAAGCTAAAATGTCAATAAAAGTCTCTTTGTTGAACAGTAGGATCAATATAAACTATTCAAAAATAATAAACAAATATAAAGTTGGCAACACCAAGGCTCTAAAAGTTTAAAAATTGTATTTAATTAAAAAAAAAAAAGATTCTCTCTGCAAATATATAATGAAACTCAGAAATGGTATATGCTAATATCTTTTTATGATACAAGTGCACATTTGTGAAGTGCAAATTTGAGACTAGAAATCTTTGTGAATCCAAAATATAATTCATTCATTCATTTTCATTCGGCTTAGTCCCTTATTTGTCAGGGGTAGGCACAGCGGAATGAACCGCCAACTATTCCAGCATATGTTTTACGCAGTGGATGTCTTTTTAGCGCAACCCAGTACAGGGAAACACTCATACACTCACACATTCACAATTTAGCTGACCCAATTCCCCTATAGTGCATGTGTTTGGACTGTGGAGGGAAACCGGAGCACCCGGAGGAAACCCACGCCAACACGGGGAGAACAAGCAAACTCCAAACAGAAATGCAAACTGACCCAGCTGGGATTCTGTGGCGCTGTCGAATCATTTTGCCATGCCCACTTCCAAAACCTATAACAATCGTAAATTTTCGCCACTTCTGGGGCGTGTGCAAAGTTTTGTGAGTTTTCTGGCATGTTTAGAACCTCAAAACTGCGATTCATTCCGCGGAAGAAGCGGAAGAATAATAAGAATAAACGGAGCAATTCCAATAGGGCCAACACACCCAACACAATCTCACGGCAATTCGTAACTTTTTCATTTAGTGGCTAATTCGTACAAATTCACACGATCTAATTCTATTGCGTATCCCCCAATGACGGTTGGGTTTATGGGTGGGGTTAGGTGCCACGCCTCCTTTTTAAAATCGTTCATTTTCTCACGACTGAACTCGTACGAATTCGTACGAATTAGCCACTAAACTGCCAAAACGTAAAATACTTACGTTTTCTCGTGAGATCAGGCTGACACACCATAGGTGCTCGGGCCCTAATTAGCAATGTTGACAGTAATATGGAAAAGACAAAAAATGTGTGAAAGACAATAAATCCGTTAAAACAAGCACACATTACACAAGTAGGTAGGGGCTGGTATAAATTTCTGATAGTATGATAACCTTGGATAAACATTTCACGGTATCGTGTTATTGTTATGACTGCTCTAAAATATGTTCTTCTTAAGTGTCTGAGCAAAAAAAAATAAAAAAAGAAGCTTCTTTTTTTTTTTACCCCATTAGACAATTTATTTTAATTTAGGAAACATTTATAATATTTTGGAACAATTAACATGTCGATTTTACATGAACACGGTGAATTAATTCAAATAAATCATTGACTTCTGCGGTCTTCATTAGTTTCAAAAACAAATTTTTTTACAAATCTACAAAAAATCTTACACATACCTTGACTTTTCAAACCACAATATATCTTAAAACCGGTTATCGTCCCATGCCTATACACAAGTGAAGACTAATAAAGGCTATAGATAAAGGCTAGAAGGAAACGTATTGCTTATTGTCAGTTACTTTTTGTAAAGTGTGGCAGAGATCAATTATTTATCATTGCCTTTCTTTACAATACATGCAACTTGTTTTGCCATATTACTAATAACTGCAATGACATGCATGCGTTTATGTGTGACTTAAGTCAATATTTTTAGACATTACACACACACACATACAGACGTGGACTCAATTGTTTGTACTCTATAATTTAGTGCTTTTTTAATGCTTCTGTTGAACCACATTTCCAAAGCAATATCAGATTTCTCAGTCATTTCTGATTCACCATTACATTTTCACTTATTTCAGTGACTAGGCTAAAAAACTTAGCAGTTGTCTGTATTTATTTTTTGTTTTCCCTGTTTTTTAATGCTTTTAAATTGGATAATGGGAGATTGATATTTCCTCTAACAACTTTTAACCTTGAAAAAGTTCAGAAAAGTGACTTATTCACATTTTTAATAGTTTAAATATATAATTAGTGATATATTGTCTGGAATGGTGTTGTAAAATATGCTACAAAACCCTTGTAATAAACCGCACCGTACATATTTTGTTATTTTACACACTCATTTCTCTATATATTATTTCTTATACATTATATTATTTCAAACGACTACTAAAATCTCAATAAAAGTCACTTTGTTAAACTGAAGAGTTGAATTTTCAACAATAAAAGTCAACAGAGCAGAGATCAACATCCCATAATCCAATTCAATATCGTAAATAAACAAATAATACGTCAATTAATTTTTTTTTTTTTACAGTGCACTTGTCACAATAACCAGCGATCATCGCTAGAGAACTACAAATCTGTCACGGACTTCAAATCCCATCATGCACTTCACACACACCAGTTTCAGTTCTCTCCCTGGTTGCCCACACACAGATGGAAAAGAATCATAGATTGATTGCATGGGCTCTATATTCACCTCTCACACACTCATGGCTGAGTCTTGTTGGTTAATAACCTGTAAAACCACGAATCATTATCCTGTCTAGTCTTTCTGTGTTTGATTCTTGTGTGTGAGAGGTGCATGATGGGATTTGAAGTCTAGTTGCGTGACAGATTTGTAGTTCTGCCCATCTCTCTTCTTCTTTCTTCAATGAAAGGGTATCAACAAATTTGTCCACGTCTGTTTTATTTAGTGCATTCTATTATTCACGCTGTAAATTCATCTCCGCCTTTATGAAATCTATTTTGATATTTAAACAGTTTTGTTTTGATACCACTACATATATATATATTTTTGGATGGAGTATTTTTATACTGTGGCAGAGCTTTGCCTGATTGCTCAGGGATGCAATCCAAGTGTTTTTTGTGTGTGTATAATCTAATGTTGGTGGAAAGCGGATGTGAAACATTCAGATGTTCCTGCATAGATGCAACTTTAACCTCAAAGAGGGTCTTATAGGAACGTGATGGACAGAACAGTGCCTTAAACACAACACACGTCAACACAAATGTCCTTTCTGTTTGTTACAGCTGTGATTTATGTGTTTCTGTTACAGCATAGGAGAGCTCAGATTTCATGCAGAGGATGATAAACCTTAAATAACTTACTTTACATTCTTCAAAATAAAGTTTTTTAAAGGTGCTTGTGTTCAGATATGTGTTTATTGGTAAATAATGATTTAACTTTAATTATTATCATTAATATGAATATTATTAATAATAAAAAATTCATAAATAAATAAATAGATTATGTTAGATGTATGATACATTTATAAAATGTAAATAAATACAATGGATAAATAAGGTCAAGAAATTAGCAGTTGGCAAAAGTTTTCAAAAATATATAATACAACATATAATGTTTTTTTTATTTAAATATAGTGGTCTATATTAAGAAAAATGGATGATATTGTGGTCAGAAATAGTAGATAGTAGTTTTATTATTATTAAATGACCCATGAAATAAAATAACAAACATTGTAGCCAGCAAATGAAAAAAAAAAAATATAATAATTTGGGCAGTAAAAATAAATGTATAACTTTAAATAAATAAATAATGATGTCTTTTCCCCAATATTTGATATTGTTAAATATATTTTAAATAAATCAATGTAAATAAATATAATTAATACATAAAGAAAAAGTTTAAAAATATATAATACAATGTTAAAGTTTATTTAAACATATATAGTGCGCCATGTAAATTAATTAAAAATATTGTGGTCAGACATGTAGCAGAAGTAGAGGATTGCTAAACAATATTTGTTGCAACATTTAATCTTTTTTATTATTAATAAATGGGTCATAACATAAAATTAAAAGATGCTTGTAAAAATGTAAAAAATAAATAAATAAAATAAATAAGTAAAATTTGGTCAGTTTAAATAAATCTATAAATAAATAAATTATGTTTATAAGGTCAAAAATTAGCAGTTGGCAAAAGTTTTTTTTTAAAAATATAAAAATATATAGTGGTCATTGTAAATGATTTAATAATTTTATCAAAATAGGGTCAGAAATGTAGCAGAAGTAGATGTTCGCTTAACAATATTTAATGCAACATTTAATCTTTTATTATTATTATTATTATTTTTATTATTATAAAAATGGCCCATAACATAAAATAAATGCTTTCATACATTGTAGCCAGCAAATTTTGATTAAAAAATTATTTTGGGCAGGAAAAATAGATGTATAACTAAATAAATGTGGTCATGAAACTAGCAGTTTGCAAAATAAAATAAAAATGTCCAACTGCATTTTTTTACCACATTATTTATTTATTTACATTTATTTATACATGTATTTAGTGTAATTAAAAAAAAATAATAATAAAGTGGCACATGAGCAGTAAGTTTTATTTACTTATTTTTGCGCCTGTAGTAGGACAGATGTAGTAAATCTATATACGTTTAAAGTATATATACGTTAGCTTATTGTACACACGTGGGTTGTTTACTCGCACCTAAAGCAGGATCACCGCTCATGTACAGGCGGAAGAGGGTTTGTTTTCATAGTAAATGAAAGATTTAGCGCCACCTGCTGGTGAATACGTTGTGGGTGAGGGACTTGTTTACATTATCACCACAACCGCAAGTGTTTGTGATCTCCATGGAGACCTTTGTAAATAACCCTCCTCAGGGAAGCACTGCAGTCCCGTGAGAGAAAAGCATATTCACTTTATTTTAATAAACATTTATAGAGAGAAATTAGTCATAATGTCTATTAATACAGGACACGGACTTCCTTTCCTGCCAGGAAACACATTTCGCGATTTAACGGTAAGAGTTTTAAACCGTGTAAGCCCGTATTATCTGCTAACTAGGCCCAATTATTTATTCTGTAGAATTATATTTTTATAGGCGTTCTTAGGTTAGCCAAAATGAAAATTACTCTTACTCGAGTGGTTGCAAACCTTTAATGTATGTTTCTTTCTTCTCTTCTTAAACAGTAAAGAAGATATTTTGAAGCATGCTGAAAACCTGTAACGGTTGACTTTCATAGTAGGACAAACAAACCCTGCTGAAAAATTCAGCTTTAACCAGCCTAGGCTGGTTGGCTGGTTTTAGCTGGTCGACCAGCCTGGTTTTAGAGGGGTTTTGGCCATTTCCAGGCTGGTTTCCAGCCATTTCCAGCCTGGTCTTAGCTGTTCAGGCTGGGAGATGACCAGCTGAAACCAGCTTGACCAGCCTAGCCAAGCTGGGGGTCCAGCCAAAACCAGCTATGTCCAGCTTAAACCAGGCTGGTCAAGCTGGTTTAGCTGGATTTAGCTGGTCATTTTCCAGCCTGACCAGCTAAGACCAGGCTGGAAATGGCTAGAAACCAGCCTAGAAATGGCCACAACCCCTCTAAAACCAGGCTGGTCAACCAGCTAAAATCAGCCAACCAGCTTAGGCTGGTTTAAGCCGGATATTTCAGCAGGGAATACTGTGGAAGTCAAGGCATTAGCTTTAAAATGAATAATAATAATAATAATAATAATTTTTATTTATATAGCGCCTTTCCAGAGCTCAAGGACACTTTACAAGGAATGCAACAAAAAGATAAACAAACATACATGAGGTCAAATATAACAAACTTGAATAACACAAACAAGACCTAAGAGACATATGAGCATAGTAGTGGTGGATCAGATGCGAAGCATTCAGAAAATAAGTGAGTCTTAAGTAAGGATTTGAATTCAGAGATATTATTAGCAGAGCAGACTGAGTGTGGTAGAGTTCCAGAGTTTGGGTGCAATAACACTAAATAATCTGCCCCCCATTGAAGAGAGGCGGTATCGAGGGACAGCAAGAAGCCCAGAGTCAGCAGACTGTAAAGAGCGAGTTGGGGTGTAGGGGACAAGCATTTTATGGCTTTTTACAAAAGTGAACCTGACCATGCAGCCGTTTTGTTTCTGCATTATTGTATCTTCATAAACGTTCTTAAAGGGATAGTACACCCAAAATAACATTTACTCGCACTCAAAGGGTTCCAAACTTTTAACGTATGTTTATTTCTTCTGTTTAACACTAAAGAAGATATTTTAAAGCATGTTAAAAACCTGTAACCATTGACTTTCATAGTAGGAAAAACAGATATTATAGAAATCAATGGTTACTGCTTTTTAGCTTTCTACAACATTAATTTTCTGTTCAAGAGAAGAAAGAAACTCATACAGATTTGAATTGAATATAAAGGGTGAGTAAATGATGACAGAGTTTTCAGTTTTGGGTGAAGTGTCTCTTCATATCCCTATGATGTGCATAAATCATGTTGTTCCATTCTTCTGTCCTCCAGAAATCTGCTTTCCACCGAGCTCAGACTCTTGATTTTAAGAACGGGTACGCTCAGCCCCGGCGGCCCGTGGTGGGTATCGGTCAAGACCCGCTGCTGTCGGTGAACATCAGTCACAGCGAGAGGAACCAGCTGATCACCGACATCCCTAACCTGACCTACGGTACCGATAGATCACACCTGCCACTAGAGTTCATACCGGCACACGCTGCTTATGACAAGAAGGTGAAGATCTATCTATCTATCTATCTATCTATCTATCTATCTATCTATCTATCTATCTATCTATCTATCTATCTATCTATCTATCTATCTATCTATCTATCTATCTATCTATCTATCTATCTATCTATCTATCTATCTATCTATCTATAGTTCTTTCTGCAGTTTTCTCTATCCATCCATCCATCCATCCATCCATCCATCCATCCATCCATCCATCCATCCATCCATCTATCTATCTATCTATCTATCTATCTATCTATCTATCTATCTATCTATCTATCTATCTATCTATCTATCTATCTATCTATCTATCTATCTATCTATCTATCTATCTATCTATCTATCTATTGTTCTATCTATCGTTCTATCTATCGTTCTATCTATCGTTCTTTCTGTAGTTTTCTCCATCCATCCATCCATCCATCCATCCATCCATCCATCCATCCATCCATCCATCCATCCATCCATCCATCCATCCATCCATCCATCCATCCATCTATCTATCTATCTATCTATCTATCTATCTATCTATCTATCTATCTATCTATCTATCTATCTATCGATCTATCGTTCTTTCTGCAGTTTTCTCTATCCATCCATCCATCCATCCATCCATCCATCCATCCATCCATCCATCCATCCATCCATCCATCCATCCATCCATCCATCCATCCATCCATCCATCCATCCATCCATCCATCCATCCATCCATCCATCTATCTATCTATCTATCTATCTATCTATCTATCTATCTATCTATCGATCGTTCTTTCTGTAGTTTTCTCCATCCATCCATCTATTGTTTTATCTAGTCTTGTCTATACTTCTGTCTGTCCGTCTGTCCATCTCTCCATCTCACCTTTCCCCTCTGACCTCTGCAGGTGTTGCGTTTCTATGGTTATTTCCGTCAGGAAGTGCTTCACTCTTGGGATGAGCACTTCCGCATTCGTCCAGTGGTGTTTTACTATCACCTGGAGGATGACAGCATCTGTGTGACCGAGCCGCCGGTGGAAAACTCTGGAATCCCTCAGGGAAAACTGATCAAGCGGCAGAGACTGAGCAAAAACCCACGTGGAGATCTGTACCACTGGAAGGACCTGAACGTGGGGATGGACATCAACTTGTTTGGAGAGGTTTACAGGATCACACACTGCGACCCCTTCACACAGGTACAAAGACAACGAGTCTGCTGGTGTGATATGTCTGATGAGTTTGGTCTGAATAAATATGTGTGTGTGTGTGTGTGTGTGTGTGTGTGTGTGTGTGTGTGTGTGTGTGTGTGTGTGTGTGTGTGTGTGTGTGTGTGTGTCTACCTTGTGTTTCTCATGTTGTGGGGAGCAAATACCAGTCAATTTTGTTTGGTCCCCATGACAAAAAAAGCTCATAAATTAGACAGAATTAAGTATTTTTAAAATGTAAAAATGCAGATTGTTTCCTGTAATGGTCGGGTTTGGGGGTAGGATTGGGGTAAAGGAATCAAATATACAGTACAGTCTTTATAGTATAAACATCATTATGTCTATGGGAAGTCCCCATAAAGATAGCTGTACAAGATTGTGTGTATACATTTTGTACAGTATAAATACAATGGAAACCAATACAATATCTCCACAATTCACAAAAACAAATATGTATGTTTGTGTGTGTAGGACTTCATGGAGAGTCAGGGAATTGTACTGAATGAATTTGAGTCCATTCCCAGTGACCCGTACACTGCCCGCCGTGCTCACAACCAACAAACCCACATCACACCCTATGACCACAACCATCAGCTGGAGCGATTCCTTGCTCTGGATCGACAGGTAAACGCTTAAAAAAACTGGTTTGTAAAGTATATTTGTATATTTGCTGTTGTTTTTATTGGTTTATTTCTCATGCTTTCAGCTCAATTTTATGTTTTATAATTTCCTCCTGTTAGTAGACTAACTGCAACACATTTTATTGACAAGACTTAATATTTACTAATAAATAAAAACAAAAGCTTTTTTTAATGCTCAGAAGTGTTATATTATATTATTTGATATTATATTATTTTAAATTATATTATATTATTTATTTCATAGTCATTCAGTGGTTCATTCATTTTCTTTTCGGCTTAGTCCCTTTATTGATCTGGAGTCGCCACAGCGGAATGAACCACCAACTTATTCAGCATGTTTTTCCGCAGCGGACGCCCTTCCAGCCACAACCTATCTTTGTGAAACATCCACACACACTCATTCAATTTAGCTTACCCAATTAGCCTGTACCGCATGTGTTTGGACTGTGGGGGAAACCGGAGCACCCGGAGGAAACCCACGCGACCACAGGAAGAACATGCAAACTCCACACAGAGACGCCAACTGACCCAGCCGGGGCTCGAACCAGTGACCTTCTTGCTGTGAGGTGATTGTTCTGGGTGCTCCGGTTTCCCCCACAAGTCCAAAAACGTGTTATAGGTGAATTGGGTAACTTAAGTTGTTGGTAGTGTATGTGTGTGTGAATGAGTGTGTGTGGATGTTTCCCAGTGATGTGTTGCGGCTGAAAGGGCATCCGCTGTGTAAATATATGCTGAATAAATTGGTGGTTCTGCGGCAGCCCCAGATTAATAAAGGGAATAAGCCGAAAAGAAAATAAATGAATAAAAAACACAAAATAACTTCAACTTAAAAATAGAGAATATATTCAAAACAACACAAAAAGTTTTATAAATAATGAAATAATTAACATTTAACAAAACATTGATATAAATATAATATATTTGATATAAAAGCCTACACTAATTTATCCAGTTAGCAAGGGTCGCCAATGACTATAAACATTGGACAAAAATAGTTTAGTCAGGAACAATAAATGAATTAATTAATCAATTAAATAATTAGTTAAATATTGAATTAATGAATTATGAAACTAATTAATGAGTAAATGAATTAATTAATTAATGAGTGAATGAATGAATGACTGAATGAGTGAGTGAGTGAGTGAATGAATGAATAAATGAATTAATGAACAAGTGATAAGAAAGAAAGAAAGAAAGAAAGAATGAATGAATGAATCAGTGAGTGAATGAATGAATGAATGAATGAATTAACAAGTAAAAGAAAGAAAGAAAGAAAGAATGAATGAACTAACAATTGAAAGAAAGAAAGAATGAATGAATGAATGAATGAACTAACAAGTGAAAGAAAGAAAGAAAGAAAGAAAGAAAGAAAGAAAGAAAAAGAATGAATGAATGAATGAATTAAATAATGAGTGAATGAATTAATTAATAAATGAGTGAGTAAATGAATGAATTAATTAATGAGTGAAAGAATGAATGAATGAGTGATTAAATGAATGAAATAATAAGTGAGTGAATGAATGAATTAATAAATGAATGAATGAATGAGCGAGTGAGTGAATGAATGAATGAATATGTAATACTCGCCAGTTTGCTGTAGTTCTGCTCAACAATAAGCTGTACATACTGCTGTGTGTGCTCACTTACATGTATTCTCCAGGTGCTGCGCTTCTTTGCGCTCTGGGACGACTCAGACTCTCTCTATGGGGAGAAACGGCCTGTAACTCTACATTATTATCTGGTTGACGACTCCGTGGAGATCTGTGAACATCACGAGGCAAACAGCGGCCGGGACCCATTTCCAGTGCTGCTCCGCCGACAGAAGATCCCCAAACACATCAAACCAACCTGCGGTGAGACAAACACACACACACACACACACAGGATTACCTTAAACGCACCTGCTGCAGTTCGAAGGTTTTTTAAAAGATATTACTCATTTATTTCTTTTCCTTCAGCTTTGTCACGTGTATATCAGAGGTTGCCACAGCCGAATGAACCACTTACTATTCTACATTTTTAGAACAGCACTCACATTTTTGTTTCACTGAAAAAAAAACACAAAGTAACACTGCAGATTTTAAATACCTAAATTTAACAAAAGCTTTAAATATTCACGATCCCAGACGATGGTTAATGGTCATGACACGCAAGAAAACAAAATACATATCTAAAATTGTATTAGATATTTTATTTGAAATTTCTTTATATGTTGGAATCTAGGTCAAGCAAAAGTTGCAATTACCTTGTCTTATAAGCAGTTTTTACAATATTATTAATTAATATACATTTTGAAACCTTTGAAGACTTTGGTCTAGTTCACATCAATATATTAACGTTATATATAACTGTATGCCTTTCTGCACTCAGAGCCGTTCCCCAGCTGCGTTCTGGAAGTTTCTCCTCATGACGTGAAGGAGTATTTCTGTCCTCAAGACTTCAGGGTCGGCGAGGAGGTTAACCTGATGGGGAGACGATTCCTGCTGTACGACTGTGATGACTTCACACACAAATACTATCAACACCATCATCCCGACATCCCCATCAAACCCTTCACTGTGGACACCAGAACACAGCAGGACATCAAGAGGGTCAGATATGTCACAGCTCTTCTCAATTAAAGGAACAGTTCACCCAAAAATGAAAAATACCCCATAATTTACTGACCTCAGTGTTAATAATTTACCTCCCTTTGTGTTCAACTTAGATTTTGGAACAAGTGGAAGATTAGTAAACGATGACAGGATATTCATTTAATAGGTGAACTGTCCCTTTAAATCTTCCCTTGTACTGTGTAAACTTAAGCCCGGCTCACACTGTGTGACTTTAAATAATCCAAAACAATTGTAGCTTAAATTCTTCTGAATCTGCCAGAAATACACTTTTTTTTCTACTAATTTTTTCTCAGACGAACAATTTGTGGCTGAAATCGTACCGTGTGAGCAGCATCGCTTTACTTGAATTTGATTGGTTCTCTCAATAATTTAGAAGGCATATATATATATATATATATATATATATATATATATATATATATATATATATATATATATATATATATATATACAGTTGAAGTCAGAATTATTAGCCCTCCTGAATTCGTCCCCCTGTTTAACTTTTTCCCCAATTTCTGTTTAATGGAAAGAAGATTATTTCAACACATTTTTAAGCATGATAGTTTTAAAAACTTATTTCTAATAACTGATTTATTATATCTTTGTCATGATGACAGTTAATAATATTTGACTACATGTTTTTCAAGACACTTCTATACAGTTTGAAGTCACATTCAAAGGCTTAACTAGGTTAATTAGGTTAACTAGGCAGGTTAGGGTAAATAGGCAAGTTATTGTATAACGATGGTTTGTTCTGTAGACTATTGGAAAAATATATAGCTTAAAAGAGGCTAATAATTTTGTCCCTAAAATATCTTTTGAAAAATTAAAAACTGCTTTTGTTCTAGCCAAAATAAAACAAATAAAACTTTCTCCAGAAGAAAAAATATTATCAGACACACTGTGAAAATTTCCTTTCTCTGTTAAACATCATTTGGGAAATATTTGAAAAAATAAAAAAAATCTAATTTTTAATAATAATTCTAATTTCACTAATAGTTCTGACTTCAACTGTATATTAATGACAGATCTCTGCACAATAGAGTGCAGCATGCGATGTTAAAATGTTCTTACAATACAACTGGTTATGACTATGAAGTAAACATACTTTTTTTCTCAGTGTTGGGTATCTTACTTAAAAAAGTCATTAATTCCTAATTACATAAATTAAATTGTATTTAACCCTCTGACGCATGGTGTTGCCATATGGCAACATGATATTTAGGTTAATTTCCCTGCCACTGTTTCTCTAAGACCAACATTGATTTTTTATTTTTTTTTTGGAAAGAGAAGACCTTAGCTTAGCCAATGATGTGCTATAATTAAGTCACATGACATGCAGTGTTTTTCTTTGGTGCGATTTCTGACAGTCTGGTGTTTATTGTGAGCAGTTGCTGAATGCAATTGAAAACATCAATAAAAACCAAGGATCAAATTATGTCAGATCCACAAAAAATCTGAGACATCACCTCCAGTAAGTTATGATGATATATTCACAACTCAAATGTTTTTTAATCAAATTAATTTTTGTAAATTGATCAAATGTGTATGTTGCCAAATGGCAACACTGTGCAGTAGTGGAATGTGAAGTATTGCAATTGGTTAGCTAGCTAGCAAGGTCAGCTGTGAATGTTTAAGTAACAATAACAACATGAAAGCTAGTAATATAATGTTGATTAGTTGTATGTTAATGACATTTGCAATATGCACAAAATCTAGTTTTAATGGCAATACTGCTTTTGAATAGATATGAACACAGGGAACAGTGTATTATGTTCTATGGCAAGTGAAACAAGTAAAGGACAGAACTGACTCTTCCTGCAGATGAAAGTGAGGATGAGACGGGTTTTAGTGGCCATGAGAATGATGCAGATTAGGCATTTGATAAGAGCAGTGATGGATACAGTTGAAGTAAGTTAGCTCAGATGCAGATGAGACAGGTGCAGTATAGTATATAGTATAATATATAAATATTGTTAGCTAGTAGATACAGTATTCTGATGCATCTGGATATACTAGACTTGTTATTTATTTTTTATAATATTTACAGGAGAAAATATTTATATTTACTGTATGTTTTGTACATGACAATACAGTATTAAGTTTGTTTTTAATAATATTCAGCAAAAAAGGAATGGAATAAACAAAAGCTTTTGGAATATCAGTTGTTGGAAAGTGTGTATAAGGTGTCGTTTATAGGTTCTGTGTTAAAGCTTATAATGCTGCAACCCCAATTAAATCATTTCCAACAACAACATTATTAATTAAAAGGAAAGTTCTAAATTAGAAATTTCTAGGTTAGATGCACAGTTGGACGTTGTTGCCATATGCAACATATTATAAAGTACCTTAAAAAAAGAAATTTTCCATTTTTTTACAGCACTTTAAGTTAAGCCATTCTAAGAAAAAGAAAAACAGTCAAATTGTTTTTTGTAGATCTACCATAAAGTGTGCAGTAGAGGGTTAAATTTGGACTTACTGTCTGAAAAGTAACACAGTTACTCAATAAGATATTAAATGACTTGACTCAACAGAGCTTAATTTTGACGCATAAATGCACTGCGTATGAATCTCAACGCCGCATAGACAACAGAAATTAAACTCAACAATGACTTTAATTGGAGCCAAACAGGACATTTTAGCTTGATTGAAAAAGTAACTCTTTAAAAATAATAAACATTATATGAATCAAAACTAAATATTTCAAAGTAATAACATGTTATTTCATGCATTCCATATAATGACATAAACTTCTGACTCATCATAGTTTCTCAAACATGTTTAATAACTGAATTACTCTGCTTCTCTTAATTGATCCAGAATGGTTGAATTTATGTACAGTATTTAACCCTTTAACAGGCATCCTAACCACCTGGTCGACCTTTTATCCATAGGTTATCATTATTATTTGAATTGCTTATTACTATTTATCAGAGTTGTGTCAGTATATTATTTAATGCAAGAAAAATATTTTTTTTAAGGAGTGACCCTTAAAGGGTTAAAGAAGGGCATTATAAGTAACTGTAAATGAATGACCTGAACATGAAAAGTAACTCCTCACTTTATTTTTTTCTGCAGAAAAGTAATGTAATTAAAGTAACTCCTTTATAACTGCTTTGTAAGTAATTACACCCAACACAGTTTTTTTTTTCTCTAGAACTCCACGATCTGCATCTTTCCACAGAACGTTTTGTTTTTCAGCACAATCGTCTTTGACTGTACTGACACCTAGTGGTGAAACTGAAGCATCACGCGTTTACTTTTATTCACATAACAGACACTTTCTGTTATGCCATTGCCTACTATTAACTACTGGAATCTTCTTTTATGGCGTGACTAATAAATGTTGCAATTGTCTTAAAAAATGTTTATGTTTTGCCTTCTTTAACTGATCGATTGTTGAAAAAAGCCTATTTTATCTATTTTTCCACTTGAGCTGTTTGTGTGGGGTAAATGCTGTGTGTGGTTGATCTCTCCATCTGTTGTTCATCGGTGTGCTGCTTATGGTGTTTATTGATTCAGGTGATTCCTCCGTATAATGGTTTTGGTTCTCTGGAGGACTCTCTGCAGAACTGCCTGTCTCTGATACCTCAACCGCCCAAGAAAAATGTGATCAAACTGCTGGAGAACGACCATAAAGTCCTGCGTTACGCTGCACGCCTGGTGAGAATGAAGCTTTCTTTAACCTCTCTCTCTCTTTCTGCATCCCGATGCACATACTATCTGTCCTACATAGTATTCGAAAATAGAATTATTATGTTAAAATGAATATTCTAAAACAACCTAGATTATTTACATTTCCAAAATTAATATCTAAGCCACTGGAAAGTATTTAAAGGTGATCTATTATGCCGCTTTTAACAAGATGTTAAATACGTCTCTGATGCCCCTAGAGTGTGTATGTGAAGTTTCAGCTCAAAATACCTCACAAATAATGCTTTATTACTCTTTATAACTGACCCTTTTAGGATTTGATCCTAATTGCGTTGTTATGGTGACTGTTGCTTTAAATTTAAACTTTTCAAAAGAGGGCGGAGCTACAAATGCCTGTGTGTCAGCATAGTGGCAGATTCAAAAACAAGACTAATGTTTAATGCTAATGAGGGAGAGATCATCACTAGTAGGCGGGGCTTTCCCCCTCTAATGACACTTACAAACGGAAAATGTCAATTAAAATGTTTTTGATAATGCTTGATTCCTTAAATTAACATTTCCTCATTCTCCACAGGATTCCCAGAATCGCCTGGACGAGGGCCGGCGCTTCATTCTGTCTTTCCACCTCGCCGATGACATGATCAGCATCTTTGAGAAATCCACACGTAACTCCGGCATCATTGGGGGGAAATTCCTGGAGAAAACTCGCATTCCCAAACCTGGAAGCACAGCGGAAAAGCCTGAATACTACCAGCCTGCAGACCTGTGTGTCGGAGCCACAGTGGAGGGTAATGACTATCACACACACCTCACAGATCCTGATGTTTAACACACACTTCTGTGATTAAGGCCTGACAGACACTGCTGACAAAAACACTGAATCTTAAGGCACACCTTATAAAAAACATAGTCAATTATAGTAAATACTATAGTGTCTTTGAACTATACGATACCAAAGAGCATAGAAGCACCAAGAGGCGACACTGTAGTGCGATTTTGGAAACAGCCACTAGATGGCGCGGCGGCCATTTTGGAATGAAAACTCCAATAGAATAACAGCATATTATAAGTCTGTTAAATAAACTATTCAAAGTGCTGATGATTGTGAAAGTAAGTGTTGTTTTGTCGTCTTTCAGGTTGTATCTCAGCTTTAATGCGCTTTTTAAAGAAATAAAAAACAAAGCAGCTGCTTGTAGTGTTGGGCAAAGCGAGGCTTCGTGAAACACTGAAACAGTCGAAGCAAATGTGTCGAAGCTTCGAAACATTTCGAAACCCCACTCTACGGTGACACCTAGTGGTCATTTCATTTGTATTGCACTAAAACAGCTTCAGCACAGAACACTTGAGCAAATTGAGATATGAAACTCCACTTTGTAGCCTTGAACCTACAAGTGGTTTAGTCGAGCGGTTAGAGTTCGTGACCGTGCAGGGATACTGGGTTCGAATCTAGGCTGTTACAATTATTTTGGAATGCTTTAATATCAGTTGGTAATGCTTTGTTCTTGTATCGTTTTGTTTCAACATTGCTCTGACATCCGAATAAACACTTTGTAAATAAATTTGTATTGTTTTAGTCATAAAACATGGTTGTTGCTAAATCAGACACAGTTGTGGTCAGAAGTTAACAATAATTATTCATATTATTGATTAAATTTCCCATTGTATTTTATTAACGTCTATCCAAAACCTAAACCCATCACAGTACTGCAAAAATAATAATTATTGTTTTACAGTGTTACAAAAATGATGCTAAATTGACGGCGTATCTTATCTAGGCTACACCATAAAACAGAAACATGATTAAAATACATAAAATCATGATTATGGAGTATTTGTACTAGTCGGGATTCGAACCCAAAATTAATATGAAACAGTATCAAAGTGCTCACACACGGTCCACTAGGCCATACGAAACAGAAACTTGAGTTTGACCATGTCAGTCAAATGCATATTCTCCAGGTCTCGAAACGCTTATGAAATGATCAATGCTTTGAATCGCTTTAGTCACGTGACCAGGTGTTTCAAAACACTATAGTCACGTGACCTGGGTGTTTCGAATCATGCTTCAGTGCAGTGTTTCGAAACACTTGCGCTTCGGGATCTCGACACTCTGTCGAAACGTCAGTTTTACGTCAGCCATCCCTAGCTGCTTGCCATCGCGAAAGCAATACTATCCAATGGACAGCTGACAGCTTTCACTCCGAAATGGCGGAATCCGCTGCTGTTGCTGGGCGCTGCTGTTGCAATGGAACGTTGCCTCTTGGTCATTCTAAGCTCTTTGACTTTCTAGCTTACTTGAATAAATCTGTTGTGGTCATTTTATAAATGCTATGGTAACAACAATTATAGTAGTTATTGTAACTAAATGACCCAATGCTGTAGTTTTCTACAACTAAAGGTACATTAGGGAATACTACAATACACAGTTTACTGTAGTAAATCCTAAAGTTTACTATAGTATTTATTAGAGTTTATCAATATTGTCTGTACTACAGTATGCTGTGTCATTCATGAACAAAGTGTTCTATAAACATTTTGTATGCAGTATAATACTGTAGTATGGTTTAAAAACACTATAATATTTGCTATAAGTTACTATAGTATTTTTTCACGAGAAATGTAGAGATTTTAGGGGTCTTTTGGCTCTTCAAAAAGTTTTTAAAGCTTAATAATAAAGAAAATGTCCCTGAAAAAAATTATTTGTGTTTAGATTAAATAAAAACATATTTTAAAGTGTTTTCTTATTTTTTTTTCTCCTGCAGTGAGCCATTAATTTCCACACCAGCCACAAATACATGCACCAGACGTCAGAGTTTGATCACATCTATGATCTGAATGCTTTTACAGATGCTTATGTTCATACATAATAATTCTGAACTCGTGTATATAAAATTTTACAAACATCTAAGTTGACATCTTTCTTTTTTAGATTATGCTATTTTTACTAATAATAATAATAATGTAAAAAAAAAGTAAGAGCCTTACATAAGTCGGGTTTAAATAAAAAAGTCCAACCAAAACGTCTCTCTTTTTTAGAATCTAATTTGACATTTTCTGTCTGCCAATTCATCAGTTATGACAAGAATAAAACAAACAAAAAACACTTTAATCTTTTGAAACACTACAACGCGATTTTGCTATTAATTACTCTTCATCTGCAAATCAAACATCTAAACTGAAATAGTGTTAGTTGCTCTGTAAAAAGGATCCGTAAATTAACAGTTTTCCCTATTTTGTCTTCCATACTATTCATTATTTGTGCTTTTTATTTACACTATGTGACCTTGATCTGTCCTCCAACAACTTATGATGTTGAAAAGTTTGAAAAAGTGTCTTTTATTGACATTTTTAAAAGCTAGATGTGATATATTGTGTATTTTTGTTATTTTATAGACTTAATTCTCTATATATTCTCTCTTATACAATATAATGTATTGTATCAAACCACTAAAACTTTATTAAATGTCACTGATAAAATGCAGTTTTATCATCAAAAGTCAACAGAGCAGAGATCAACATCCCGTAATACCATTAATTACCGTAAATAAACAAAGAAAAACCTTTAAATCATGGATTACGGAAGCTGTTAATTAACAGGTTTTTTAACAGTGTGATGTTTTGTTCCTCTTCTCTCCAGTGTTCGGTCATCGGTTTGTAGTGACGGATGCTGACCGCTTCGTCTTGAGTTTTCTAGAGTCTCAGTCTCATCAGACCCCTGAACACACACTCTCTTCACTCAGACACGCCACGGACCCACAACAACTACATCCAGGTAAAATGCCTACGCTTACACTCCAAAATAAAGCTTCTTTACTGTTCTCTGCACTTTCATGTAGAAGCTTCAGAAAATACTTTAAGCAGTTCTATTAGACATAAATGGATCTTCTGTGGCATCACTGTAAAATGTCTTAAATAGCAGGAAGAAATATTGGTGGGCTAAATGTTTGACTATATATTTTTAGAAACAGCATTAATACAATTCTATTTTTTATTCTCTTAACGATACACTGAAAAATTATTCAAAGATGATTCCTTGGATTTACTAAAATATTTCGAGTGCTTGTAAACAATTCATTAGGGCTGAATTTAAACAGTCAAGTCAGGTTGAACATTACTAAATTTAATTTGTTTGTTTAAACTCAACACATGTGAATTGTTTGCAACCATTTTGCAGACATCATTTGCTTCAGTGTAGACATCTCACAATTGTCTTTCCTGCTATTGAATAGAAAATCCAAAAAAGTAATTGCAACTGTTTTAACGCAAAATACAAACTATAACCAGACACAATATAATCAGAAGTATATATATTATCTAATATATATTTGCTTTTTTAATTTGTCAACAGATGTTCTGTGCAATATTTATTTTATTTTTTACTTATTAAGTCCTTTTTACATTGTATTTATTACAATTTTTTCTGTAGAAAGTCTTGTTTTAGTTAGGTTGGATTAATAATAATAATTATATATATATACTAGAAAACTTTTTTATATTTATATAAAAATGTTGAGATAAATATTTTTGATATATATATATATTATATATTCAACTATATGTGTGTGTGTGTATATATATATATATATATATATATATATATATATATATATATATATATATATATATAAACACACACTTGAAGTCAGAATTATTTGCTGCCCTTTAGATTTTTGTTGGAATGTGTTGGAAAAAAAAAAAAAAAAAAAAAAAAGTCTTCTCTCCGTAATACAGTGATTGGGGAAATAAATAAACAGGGGGGGCTAATAATTATGACTTCAACTGTGTGTGTGTGTGTGTATATATATATATATATATATATATATATATATATATATATATATATATATACAATATTTTTTTGCATTAGTTACAGAACAAATCACTGTTGTCCAAAGACTTGCCTAATTACCCTAATTAACCAAGTTTAGCCTTTAAAAGCACTTTAAGCTCAATACTAGTAATTTGTAAGATATTGTGTGCCGTCATCAAAGCAAAGACAAAAGTAATTAGTTATCGAAAGCAAATAATGGGGCTAATCATTTTGCCCTAAACTAATACATGAATATATATATATATATATATATATATATATATATATATATATATATATATATATATATATATATTTATATATGTATATATATATACACACATACACACACACAGTCGAAACATTTATAAAATGTGAACGTGTTACACATACAACACACTTAAGAGAATTTTCCATCCTGAATGGAAGCTACAAAGAGATCAGAAATATCTCTGGCCCAGAAATAGACGACTCTTGAGGTGGATCAAAGTCGTTCATCAAAATCCATAAAGTAAAAATGTGTCTGATGTGTTCTCAGTCTCAGGACAACTTTGAGTCATTTCTTGATCAACTTCAAACGCCGTCTTCTGTTTAGTTCAGTATGCAAATGTTAAAACTAAATATATTTTCAGTGTACTGCCTTTGTGTTCTCCACTATCTAAAAATAAAGCGCTAAATAATGGATTTATTGATGTGTGTGTGTGTGTGTGTGTGTGTGTGTGTGTGTGTGTTCTCTTCAGAGTGTGATGAAGCTGCAGTCCTCCAGCAGAGCTGATCATCTGGAGCCTGATTGGCTGATTTCTCTTATGTAAATGTGCAATAAAAACACATCTGCATAACTTATTATTATTATTATTATAGGGCTCAATAATTAAACATTTTCTTTAACAAATTCTGACATCCAGTTTCACCTCAATTTAGAAAAATATCAATTTCTTTTGTACTGAAACATGAAAATGTATCTGATGAAAATATTTGTTTATGAAACCAAAATGCAGTTTTGGATTAATTAAATACCCTTTTTTTCCCTTGACTTGAGAACATTTTTTTTGGTTTTATTACATTTTTAATGAAATTACAGGCTTGAATGCCAGATTTGACATTATCTTTCGATCTGAAAACAGAAAAAGAAAATGAACTCACAGCTTGACTTGCCTATCTGATGAACAGCTGTTTTGGATGAATTACATACCCAAACAGTTTCCCAGGAACATTTTGCAATTCTGATTTATAAAGTCAGAATCTCACAAACACACACACTCACACTCACTCACTCACTCACTCACGCCAAAATTCCAAGTTAGAGTTTCAAAATTTTGAGTTACAAAGTCGCAATTCCCAGTCGGTTCATTCCGCTGTGACGACCCCTGATAAATAAAGAGACTAAGCCGAAAAGAAAATGAATGAATAAATGAATGTCGCAATTCCGACTTTATAACTCAGAATTCTAACTTTATCACTTGGAATTCTGAGTTATCTTTTAAGTTACAAATTTATAATTCTGAGTTATAAAATCAGAACTCTGACTTATAAGGTCGCAATTACTAGTTAAGTCGGAATTGCAACTTTGTAACACGGAATTCTGACATTGTAACTCAGACTTATAATATAGCTCAGAATTCTGAGTTAAGTCAAAATTCTGAGTTGTGACTTTAGAACTCGGAATTCCAACTTTATAACTTAAAGTCACAACTCTGACTTATAAGGTCGGAATTGCAACTTTGTAACTCTGTAACTCAGAATTCTGAGTTGCAATGTAAATTCAAAGTCACAATTCTGAGTTAAGTCAAAATTCTGTTACAATGTCAGAATTCCGTGTTACAAAGTTGCAATTCCAACTTAATAACTATTAATTCTGACCTTATAAGTCAGAGTTCTGATTTTATAACTCGGAATTGCGACTTTATATGTAAGAATTCTGACTTTGTAAGTTATAAAGTTAGAATTCAGAGTAACAAAGTCGCAATTTTGTCTTACAATTTCAGAATTCTGTGTTACAAAGTAGCAATTCCGACTTATGAGGTCGGAATTACGAGTTAAGTCGGAATTGCAACTTTGTAACACAGAATTCTGACTTTGAATTCTTGCGACTTTGTAACATAATATAACTCAGAATTCTGAGTTAAGTAAAAATTCTGAGTTGCAATGTCAATTCAGAGTCACAAAGTTGCAATTCTGACCTTTATAACTCAAAATTCCAACTTTATAACTTACAAAGTCACAACTCAGAATTCTGAGTTCCAATGTCAATTCAGTTACAAAGTTGCAATTTCGACCATATAAGTCAGAGTTATAAATTTGCAATTCTGTATAATGAGTTTCAGTCAAAAAATTGATTTTAACTCGGAATTGCGACTTTGTAAGTTATAAAGTTGGAATTCTGAGTCACAAATTGCAATGCCGACCTTGTAAGTCAGAGTTCTGACTCTATAACTCGAAATTGTGAATTTATATACGAGTTCTGACTTACAAACTTAAAGTCAGAATTCTGAGTTATAAAGTCAGAATTCTTATATATGAATTCAGAATTCAAAGTTATAATGTCAGAATTATGAGTTAAAGTTGAAATTCCGACCTTAGAAGTCAGAGTTCTCACTCTATAACTCGAAATTGCGAATTTATATATAAAAATTCTGACTTTATAACTTACAAAGTCAGAATTCAGTCACAATTACAAGTTATAAAGTTGCAATTCTGAGTTACAATGTCAGAATTCTGAGTTAAAAAAGTTTCCTGTTATTATAACTCGACTTTAGAATTTTAAAGTCAGATTTTCCAGTTCTAAAGTTGCTATTATTTAGTTCTAATTAAATTTGATTGTATTTATTCAGTTCAGAGTGCAGAATAAAAGGAAAACAAACTCTTTAAGCTTCTGAAAGAACACAAAACAAAGTGTAACTATTCCAAAAGGTTCAATATTTATAAAGCATTGTCATGTACAAATCAAATATCAAAACTGCATATCCTTACAAAGCTGAAACTCAAAGACTGAATGTTTTCTGTGTTTGGTCTCGATTGTGTCGTTTTTTCCACAACTACAACATTATTCCTACATCACACCAGACAAAAACTAACAACAACAAAAACAGGTTTGTGGGTTCGTTTTTGGATTGTCATGTAAATCTTTTGTTCATTACAAACCCAGACTGTAAAACACAAATAAATCTCACGGACTGTCCTTTCTAGGCCACTGTAGTTTGCATTTTTGTACCTCAAGACATGCAGGGGAAAAACAAAAAAACAAAAGCTAACCAGGAGACGACAGCGCTTTAATACAGAAAGACTGAAGAACCAACGTGAATACTGAAAGCAGAAAGAGACGTTTAGTTGCTGATGTCACTTCCTCTGAGAACCGGTCAGATTGACCCTCTGTTGTTGTGGAAACAGGATGCGTTTCCTGTGCTGGAATGAGCTGAAGTTTACGGAGTTTTGATTTTCTTGAGTCGAGGAGACGTGCCGTTTTCTGCTTTAAGGAGGCCGTTTTCATGATGACCGACTGCTGGACACAAACACAAAACACACACTCAACATCTGAACACACACACTGCAGTTAAAGGCCAGCATTTCAAATCAAATCACGTTTGTCACATCATCAGCAGCACGTGTGCTATGAGTAAAAAGCTCAATAATAAAATACTAAAGTTTAATAATTTGTGTTTACATGTTATCGGTAATCAAATTATTTGACTTTCTCCCCTGTGTCTGTGTGTTTGTTTTGCCTCTGTGAAAATCGGCATGTGCCCAAACTGAAACTCCCATTTTTTATACATATTTTTTTATGCACCATCCTCTTTCCCCCTCCTCTGACACTCCCCCCTAAAGAGAGCTGGACACGCCTACTTTCCTGACTTTTTCCAAACTAGAGGTGTGAAAACACCCAGCTGAAATAGGTGGGTTTTGTGGCCCTTTAAAGGGTCACGAAACACCAAAACACATTTTTTGAGCTGTTGACAGTCGTATATGTGTCCCACACTGCTAAAAACACTATTAGGACACCTATATTTTACTAAAGTGTAAATTGGTTGTTTTTGCGTTATTTCAAGCAAATTCGTACTTCCGGTTTGAAACAAATTTTTGAAGCTGCGTCACGGTCATGACATAATAGCGTGTATTCCAGCATGCAGACTGGACGTCTGTGCCAGAGTGAGTCTTATTACGTCTTACAGTGTGATGCATTAATGCATGACTAAAGCTTGGTTCAAACCAATCAGCGCACTCTATTGTGCAACTTCATTAATATTCATTACTGTCACCGTGTTTACACGACATAGACGCCACGTTGTGTTGGCAAAACAAGCGTGAAGTGTTGCTTTTATAGTTTGCTGCAGTTAAGTTTTGTTTTCATTTTCTCTCTGTGAGAGCTCAGCTGGACTCACGTGTGGATTACAGTGTACGCGACGCTTGACAACAATAACTTGCGTGTCTTAGGAGGATTATTGTTTACCTGAGAGCTGTTCTCATCTGCAAACGCTGAGATCCGGATTCGCTTGTAGTCTCCTCTAAATAAAGACGCGGCTCTAGTTGCTGGTGATTGTCCTGTCTCGACAGATTTGGTAAGTGAGCGACCAGTGCTCTTTGTATATTCAGTTTGTTCGTATCAAACTATTACACAGAGTGTAAACATGTTAGCACTACAACCAAACCAGAGGCGTCTTTAAGCTGCTGGGCCATTCCACAGCTTGATTTTCTTTCTCTGAAAGCATTTGAGAATCTCCCTGGCTGTGTTTTGGATCATTGTCTTGCTGAAATGTCCACCCTGGTTTCATCTTCATCCTCTTGCTAATGTACATGTTGGACTGAAGCAGCTGATATTCATTTACACTGAGGAAGGGCAGAGGGTTGCTGAAGAACTACTGAGAGATTTCAGCTGCTGTCTGGGCTTTCTCTGCCATTCTACACCTCCCTTCATGTGTTCAATACTTTTGCCCTGCATCATTTAATTTTATTACACAGAACTTCATATATGGATTCTTTGGTTGTTGGCCAGGGAAAATTAAGTCAAAGGCACCTTTAGAAATATGTTTTCTGAGAAAAATTGTGACATGTTCAATACTTATTTCCCCCACTGTGTATGGTTTTGAATTCATTTAGTTTCAGGTTAAAATATCTCAAAAAATAGAAGCATTTCTTTTTAAATGAATATTTTAGACATTACTTCAGGTTTCCGGTCTTTTTTTGTATTTTCTGTTTACTTGAATTGTCCTGATGGAAAGTCAAGGAGACGTTTCTCCCAAAAATAGCAATTCTGTCATCATTTGCTCGTCCTCCACTGTTTGAGTTTCTTTTGATGTTGAACACAAATGCAGACAGCCATGGATTTCCATAGGACACTTTGTTTCTAATATGCATATGACAATAGCCCCTTTCACACATACAGACCTTTCCGAAAGGTTGTATGTGTGAACAGGTCCTTTGTGAAAATACCGGTAAATTCGTTCTGGCTATTTTCCGGAAAGAGAAGTTGTAACATTACCGGTAATTTGCCGGAATGCTGCGCTGTGTGAATGCAGAAGGAAGATTCCCGTAATAAGCGCGTGCACGTCTAGAACGTGCTGACGTGAGACGTCTGCTTTAGCCAATCACAACAGTCAGACGCATTTACGTCCGCGCGGTTTATGAGAATAAAATCCTTTGAATATTTTTCCAGACACATTTAGCTGCTAGAAGTTAGTCAGATCACGTTTATATGTTCTTCTTAATGCCAACTGTGTAAATAATCATCGATGAGATGCTTATGATAAGCCGTTGTTTGTTTACCTTCAAGCTTTGCGTGTGCCTGTGAAACAGCCTGTGAGCGCCTGCACACGCACATATTATGAACATCTCGACATGCGAAAGT